CCGAGCGTTAAAAATACATATTTGCTTTGTCGTTTCGCGTTGACGCGAACGGATAGTCTGTCGGGTCCTCGATCCTCACAATTCGCGAGGTGAAATACGCCGTCGACAACGGTCGTCCGAAGGCTGCTCAATTTGCGAAATATTTCACGTTGCACAGCCGACTTAATATTCAATGTGCCGAACGATGTGTTACAAAATGCCTTACGATCGGCCCTGCTGTCGAGCCGATAACACAATCTTTACACAATCCAGCGCTTCAGTCGCGAATCGTGGAAATAGACGTTCGCAGTGACGCGCACTTTCGAATACAAATATTTGTTAAAACACGTTCCAAAACCGCGAATATTTCCCTCTGAAAGTATAAAGATACAACGCTCCGCCAGCCAACATATTTGCTGTCTTATTCAAATGAGACGCGAGAGCTATTCAGGATAAGAACCCGCCGCGGTTCCAGGTTATATTATATTACAGAGCGTAATTAAGCATCAAATTAAAATAATAAATAAAGGCAGATCTCCTTGAAATTAATCGAAGAGAATATGACTTTAGCAGGAGATTAAAAGTCCTAAAGCTTCGTTCACGAATAACCATTTGTTTTTATTCAGTGATTACTTGAAGATTATTAATACTTGGATATTCTTTATGGGAAGAAATGATTGACCCTGAATTAGCCGAAAAGTCTGCCACTAAACACTGATAATAACGAGATAATTCGCGTGTTTAGAAAGACAGATGGTTTTTCTTTAAGGAAATATTCTGGTTCGAAAGAGAGAGAGAGAGAGAGATAAGGAACTTTTTCGAAATTTTTATAGGGAAACGAAAAAATCGAATAATGCATATCCATCGAATCAAATTTTGCATATTCTCTTTTACTTTTATTTAAAAAAATATTTAAAACTTTATTTAAAAATATATTTTTATTATCTAAGTCACAAAAACGTTCCTTTTTTATATATTATATCTTAGTCACTGGGAGCTCTCATAAAAAAAAATGCATACAGTGTAAGTGATTATGGCTCTCATAGATATTTGAAACAAGAAATCTTATTCAAAAGAAGTGTGGCTATTGTCTCTAAACTAGAACAAATATTATAAATTTATTATTTTATATTTTCTTTTAATAAAATATTAATGACATTCTAAAAAGAAACAAATTTTTTAAATAAAAAGGCCGCCATTTTGTCTAGAAAAATATTTTCGGCTTAGTTCTAGTTCAGACGATAGTCACACTTCTCATGAAGAAGAAAATTTATGAGTTCTGTGTTTCAGATACCTAAGAGAGCTAGAATCACTTACATCATTGATATAAGTTTTTCTTTTTGCGAGCTTCTAGAAATCAGGAAATAACATACAAAAGAAGAGTGTTTTTGTCACTTAAATAATAAAAATATCTTTTAAAAATAAGGCTTAAAGAAATTATGTAAAGTTTGATGTTACTCGATTGTTTCGTTTTCCTACAAAAATTTCCGGAAAAGTACCTTTTCCTCTTGTGACTTTTTAAATCAGAATATTCCTTAAGAACTGGCGCATCAATCACTCCTGCAACACCTTTAATGACCTTTTTACCGTAAAAACAAGCACCACGCTTTGGTGTGTCTGCGGAGAGGAAGTGCCAAGATACACGGAATTAAATTATTTTAACTTCACGTAGAAACACATATGTCCTCCGCGCAGTATCACTCGCAGTGATGTGAAATGATTAGAAGCCATCGAGAGAATTATGGACAGTGTGTTAGACGAGCTGCTATCGCGACGGTTTCCAGTTTGTTAAATTGATGCGATTAGAGAAAACTAAGCGGATTTGATATCGCGTCTCGATAAGACGAAACAGCGATAGTGACGCGCGGAAAACGTCTGCGACTTGAATCGCGTATTGGCGCACGTATTTCGCTCGCGATGGTTAACGTCAAAAAGATTATCGGCCGTGTGTTACATCACAGGCGCACGCGACAAACGACGGAATCTATTCCCATTTACGAGAAACATATTTTCGTTTGCTTTCCACTTTTTATTATTCCGCTGACAGCTGTGTCGAAATACGCGCGTCGCACGAAGCGTGCATTCGAAATCCGCGGAGCAGGAAACGCGAGTGGCTTTAACTTTGTGCACGATTATCTCGCATTCACGATCTACAAGTCGCGATAATGAGCCATTTATCGCGATGTGTAATTCATTGCGACCGGTCTTTCGTGCATAAAATGAGGCATTCGTTGATATAAGAAGAACAGTGGATCTCGCTAAAGATACCGACGCAATTAGCTTGACACACACAGAAAAATATAGTTCCACTGATAAGAAAAGCGATTACTTGTAAGAGATTACTTGATGCTTTAAATTAATGGTTATTTTCAATGAAGAATATTTTCTTGATAATTGTCTCAAAATATACTCATCACACATTTTCAAAGAGCTCGTCATTATGTTCTCGAAAGAAGAATTTACTCTCAATATGACTAGAAAACTCTATCCAAGAAAAAGTTGATTCTACGTAAGCAAACAGATTTTTTATTTTAATTTAATATTCTTGAACGAAATGCTAAGCTTCAAAATGTATTTTGAATAAATTGAATATCTGTGATGAACTGATGATAGATTTGCAGATATACAAACTCATGAAATACTTAAAACAAGTAATATTTACTTGAATGCAGCATGCATCCTTCTGTGAATGAGGCATGAACAATCGAACGAGTCTTCTTTCTTAATCTAGAGTGTAAAAGAATTTCCACAAAATTGCACATTACGTTGGTACAAATAGATGAATGTAGAGACAAATAGAGTCGCGGGTGAAATCCGCGAAAGGAAATCTAGAAATTCTATGTCGCCCTTTACGTCGAAAGAGATCTAAATTGAGAACCGTGACGTTTGAGATTCTCCGGCTGAGTATTTCTCTGCGTTGCGATGAGGTAAGTTAATTAGACTGTAGACGTTTGTTAGCGCAAACGCTGAGTGGCGCTTGGCTCTCATAAAGAGGCTCAAACTTAGCAAGCGTTGATCTAAGAGGCTTCAGTTTCTCTGAAATCTACGTAGAAAGTTAACATTGCTGAATTCAGCGCATCACCGTCGTCATCCAATTTCTGCTTACGTTTCCCGTTACGAGTCGTAATTGTGACACTAATGGCAGACGCAGATTGCGTTTTCCAGCCAGGTTTCCAGCGCGGTTTCACTTTCCTCGCCCGCGCAGCAGATACGTGCGCAAATAAGCCTAGGAATCGGGCGCTCACGTGATCGTATGCGTAGTAGACGGTCGAGCAGATTTAGCATAACGGGTAGAACTTCATTGATTCCAATGATCATCCACCAATCAACTTCTATGTAATCACGTGACGCGCACGAGCGGCAATCATCGATGGCTCAGCTTTTGCCTTCGTTATTCCTCGCGCGTACACTCGATCCCGGAACTCGAACGAGCGAAACAAACGACGTTCTCGTGGAATGTTTACTTTCAGTAGATTATACTGTTATTTATATGAGTATATTGGAAAGAAAGTCACAAAAAAAGCTATTGGAATCGCTGATTCCAATAATATAGCGGGATTTACTTCGTGAAGCAGCGACTTTTGAAATTTAAAGGATTTATATTATTTATATTATAAAAAAAATTAAAAAAAAATCAGATTTATATTATCCTTGGCGTGTCATTTTAGATGTCCTTACAACTGCTTACATTGTAAATATCGTTGGTCGCGAAAACATATAAAAAATTAAACGACTCTTTTTCGCTAAAAGATAACAGATAATGTAAATTTACGTCGACAAATTGCGTTATTCCGAGTTTTACAATAGTTCACATTTGGATGCGATTCTATAGTATGATTTATGATCGTCTGTTGACAATTACGTTAAATTTTCGTTAAATTTTCGACAATATAAGTCGTTTGCCTTCTCATGTAATAATATATATTATGTAATAAAATATATATAGAGTGTCAAAAATCTAACGAGTATTCTGTCATCGGTACGTATCTGCAGAAATGCGCGTCTAAAAATTACGAGCAAATTAAAGTATATTGCAATGAATTCGTATTATTTATTATCATGAATTAAACACGCCGGCCAGCTGGCGAATGCAACATTGTGGTGACATCTCAAGCACCAAATAAAATTCTCACGGCAATCGTTCCGTCGAAGCTAACAAGTTGCCAGCAGTTGGTCAGTCAAAGGCACCGTTTATATCGATTTATGGTCTCGCTCAAACATCTATTCGACTAAATCAGTCGCAATGAGTCTATTTTAGTCATTCCCTATTATTACAATTTAATCGAACCAAACAAAATTACACAAGTGGAAATGTGTAATGACATGCAAAATGCAATTGCAATTAAATATGAAAACTGAGTGATACAAAATCAACTTGAAAATTCAATTTTTTTGCCAATAGTTTATATGAAGCAAAAGTAAGCCAGTTAAATGCTGATCCTGATAGTTAGTTCTCTTTACTGTAGACACACATATATACAGCAGCACAAAATGAAATGGTGGATACTGAAATTTTGTATATCAAACCGTATGCTTCTAGATACACGTACATTTTGCACTATCAAAATACAATGTCGCAAAAGTTGGTTTCGTGCATGTTCGTGCACACACATACATTTCGCGCGAAAAAAATACAATTCAAGTCGGTTTCATATTAATTGCATTAAACCAGCGTCTGTTCGCGAGTAAAATTTAACGTGAACAAAATGAGCAAGCACGAATCACGTCGTTTTGTCGTTAAATAAAAGGATGAAGCGAGCGTTGCGAGATTTTGACTGAATTTGCAACAATTGTTCTATCGATCGGCTGCCACGGAGACGAACTCATTGCGCCGACGACCGTCGGTCACTTCACTTTCTTAACAGGAAGACCTGTCGGCGCAACATTGTGGCGACATCTTAAGCACCGAAAACACTCGGAAACGTATCCCCCTTTGCATTCCCGGCGAGATATCGATCGCACGAGGCATTGTAAATAACCGCCGGTACTATCTCGCCGGAAAACATCGTGCGCTACGTCGAGTAGACGTAGAGGCCATTTTTGCGACACGTTTCGTTCAGTTCTACACAAGCGGCTCCGTCGAACGTGTTGACTCCGGCAGCATGTCGCTCCTCGCGAGAATCGCCAAGTGTGAGGTACGAAGATACACGTCATCGTGTGGTGTGGTGCGCGCCAATACGTCAGACCGTCATTCCGTTCGCTCCTCAAAACCTGCTGCGCCACAACTGCAGCTCTTGCAGGTTGCATTTAAATGCATTAACGCAGGAAATAGGACCATCTAGTGAGCATCCGATGAACTTGCGAAAATTCCTCTCGCGTAGCGCCAAAATTGATTCGAGGTCTTTTCGCACGTGTCCTGACCCCGCCAATTCCTTTTTCCCTCGGTGTGCGTGAATCTTAATGGCGGTTTGTGCAATCGCAAAATGCGTTGTTGGCGCGGAAAGTCACAGCAAACGCAGACTTAAGCTTATGCTTTTCATTGTCCACTGCCATTTTGCTTCGCCCGTTATGTCATACCTTCGATAATTAATGTAAATTATAGTCAAGGAATAATTATTGCACTGTAAGAGAAATTATTAATTTCTTTTTTACCTCATTTGTTTGTCTAACTAACGTATATGTGCCACCGACAGTCACGTGTTATAACGTAGCATATTGGTGGCGTATGCTACGCGTGACGGTGTATAAAAGAGTCGAGCTTTAAAATAGATATTATGATAATAGTGCTAAATCTCTGTGTTATGGCGTGTGAGAAACGATAAATATTTTGTAATCACTTTAAAATAATCGCCGAATATGTGTTTTATTCGATATTTCGCTTGGAAAATCTTTGTACGTACGTATGAAGCCTTTCGCAAATGCTATCTGATAACGGCTTTATCGGAAACTTATGGCCATACGTAATAACTAATGTATACGTAATTCGTACCTCAGAGAAATATGTTTGCTTTGCTAATTATATCGCTGATACCTTTCATTTGCGAACGAAGTAGAATGACATTCTCTATAAAATCACTGTAACAGAATTATAATATCACTCGAGGTAAATAATTGCAACTTTTGCTTGTTTTTTAGAGATCGCGTTGTTCGTTTAATCTATGTTATTTTTTACAATTAATAAAATGCAAATGTGATAAATATCTGGCATCAAATAAAATAAAATATAGTAAACGACTAGAAAAAAAAGTGCATAATATTTCAGCTGCTGCGTTATCGCAAAAATTCTCAGAATGTATATCGATAAATTTACATGTTACTGTTTCATACAGAAAAAAATATATTTCTCGTAAACTCTAATGTACACATTCATAAGAAGCATAATTGAAACCTTCGATCGTCAATCGTGAATCCATTTTGCTCAACACTGTCTTGCATTCTCCAAGTGGCAAGCGTTTTGACCTGATTGACCCTCGGCGACAATAATATTCGTGAGAGGAGAAGTCGCTTTATCAATCTCTGTCTATAAAGACACTTCATATAACTTCATATAATGCAAAACGAACAAGAGTAAACAATTGTCAGCTGCAATAAATTGTTTACGTGTTGGTCTAAAAATAACTTGTGCAAATATTTGCTTGCTATTTAAAAGAATTAAAGTAATTTTGGATAACGAAGTCTCGTCGGCTTATCGATGCATATTAATCGCGTGTGACCGCGAAAACATCCCACGTGGAAATTTACATTTAATTTACAAATAAAGTGGAAAAGCCAATTTGTCCAATTCCTTTTAACAAAAGAGAAATGAAAATAATAAATATTTTTGTTAACCTGATAAATATTTGCCACACAGCAGAGGTGTCCAAAATATATCATAGATACATTTGGGATATGCAATCTAGATATCCCTATGATGTATTTGGGACATTCCTGCTGTGTAGATTATATATTTACCAAGTCATTATCCAGCTTTAGAAATACGTTTAAATTGTATTTTAACAAGATATTGTTGAATATGAATTTTTAACCTTGATTTTTTTATGATTTGCATCATTATGCACGATTATTGTAGATTGTCGTTGAAAAATATCACGCGATATTGTACAAATGATTACTTGTACAATATTAATATCAACAATTCCAGGTACGTTTCAACACCCGATCCTACAGCAATGCCGCCCCAACGGTTAAAATGTACATCGATGGACAATTCGTAGGTAATTGTTGTTATGTCGAACTTCACGTGTAAAATCGCACAAATTACACACGTTAAACACATTAGATGTTTCACGACGTTAATCGTAAACGTACAATTTGTAATCTCTCTTCCTTCTTTCTTCTCTCTTGTGTTGTATAAACATGATTTTAATCGTTTCAACGACATTATCTACATGTAGATCATGTCAATTTGTCAATCGAAATATCCTCTGCAGAATCAAAGGCTACGGAATTTACGGATGTCCACGACCCTGCGACGAATCAGCTGTTATGTCGAACTCCGAAATGCACGAAGGACGAGATGGAGAGCGCTGTGCAAAGTGCACGAAAAGCATACGAAAAGTGGCGGAACACCAGCGTGCTCACGAGACAAAATTTGATGCTCAAATATCAAGCGCTTATACGAGAACATTCGGTTAGTACCTATTTCAAATATATATATATATATATATATATATATATATATATATATATATATATATATATTAAGTTCTAAAGTAGGTCATAGAGAGTTAGATATAATTGTTATACCGTTGCACGAAGTGGAAAAAGCCGACCGTGAAACTTTTCAAAGTGAAGAAATCTTGTAATTCGGCAATAATAAAGAAGCCAGCAAAGGCAAATGTCAATTATCAGCAAACGAATCGTTTAACAAATATTTTATTTAAATCGCATATATTAAAAATATTTATTTTTAGAAAGAAATTGCTGAGAATATTGTGAGAGAAAATGGAAAAACTATGGCTGACGCGGAAGGAGATGTACTTCGAGGTCTACGTACGTATCTTCTTCTTGATTAATTACAAATATACTCTTATTAAATTACAAAAATTGATAATTCATTAGCTTAGCAAATGAATCTGAATAAGTAAGTCTGCTATCTAGGAAATTTAGGATTCGCTTTAGCAGAAAAGGAATATTCTTTCGGTAAGAATATTCTCATTTAAAATATAGGATTACAGGAAATAACGGCTAGATTTCTTTTTCTGAGTGTTAGAATATTTCCCTTTTGGTTTTAAAACAGTTCTCTTGAGACCATACACAGGGTGTTGAAAAAAAGGATTCAAAAGTTGCAAGATAGATAGCACTCATTATACTGAGTACAAAATGTTAAACAAACATAGGTCGAAAAATCAATTAATTACAAATGCTTTTACATCTGTAATTATCTTTTCATTTCCGAGAGATATTAAATTTTTTTTCCAGCAAAAGTTATTTCTTTCTAAAAACCCTATTCAATAATATTCTTACTGCCCTATGTTACCATTTAAAATTTTTAAATTGCCTTCGATTTCTGGTATTTGCGTGGGTTTCCCAAAAGTGAAAATACCATCATCAGAAACTTCAGATAGGCTTTTATGGTAAACATGCGTTCCCAACTTTCCATTCCTTTACAAAATAAAAGAGGTGGACAAGTGATCTGAAACTATATAATATTATAATAATTTTATAAATATATAATAATTAATAATATTATATAATAATTTTATAAATGTTACAACAAATATTATTTTTTTATCAACAAAAACTTAATATAGTAATACTCGACGTTGTAAAGCATACTTAATGTCCCGATTAATATTTAATTGTGTATCCGCAGAGGTTGTCGATGCATGCACATCAATCCCGATGCTCCAGATGGGCGAATCCTCGACCAATATCGCCACGGACATGGATATCGTCTCGTACAAAGTTCCCCTCGGCATTACCGCGTCCATTTGTCCCTTCAACTTCCCTGCCATGATACCTCTTTGGTCGTTTCCAATAACGGTCGCATGCGGGAACGCCGCTATCCTAAAGCCGTCAGAACGTGTACCAGGTGCGTCCATGATTCTCGCTGATCTCTTCACGAAAGCCGGTGCCCCAGCTGGCCTTTTAAGCGTTATACATGGCCAACGTGAGTCTGTGAAGTTCATCTGCGAGCATCCCGATATCAAGGCTGTTTCGTTCGTCGGTTCTGATCAGGCGGTAAGCGAAGATGAAGAATGAGATGAAAAATCTCAAATATCGAATTTTTTTATCGTTCTTTGTCATATAGATTAATCTTTTTTTCCGAAAAACCCGCATAAGAGAGAAGAAATAAAAATTCTATTTAACAAATATTCTGTTTGTTTCTTCTCTTTATGCCAAGTATCTATTTTTTGTTTCGTGTGTCTAATGTACACTCAAAAAAATATAATCTTATTTTTAGCGGAAATCCTCTCAGATATGGTCTTAAAAGAGAGGATTTTTTTTTAATCAAAAAGAAAATATTCTAAACACAGTATTCCTAAAGCTAGAAGAATTTCATCTTTTCTACAAAATATAAGTCTTGTTCTTAAAAGAAATTGCTTCTAGTAAAAGGCATTTTGCTTCAAGTAAACCTATTGATATCTAGTAAATTTATTCGCTTCAGTAAGAATATTCTCGTTTAGAATATGGGATTACAAAAAATAACAGCTAGAATTTTTTCAAGTGTTAGAATATTTCTCTTTTGATCTTGTCTCCCTGAGACCATACACAGAGTGTTGAAAAAAAAAGAATTCAAGAGTTGCAAGATAGATAGTACTCATTATACTGAGTACAAAATGTTGAACAAACATAGGTCGAAAAATCCTTTCAGTTACAAATGCTTTTCAGTTTTGGTAATGCAAATTATTTGCATACTTCCATTAATCACGCGTGGTGAATGAACAAAGTATCTTACCATATTATTATTTTATTATGATTTATTATGATTTGATGGTTGCAACAGATGCTTCATATGTCCTTCATATATTTCTACGCACGCTTACATTTTTACATTACAAAATCTTTTTGATTTGGACACCTTTCTGCACACATAAAGACGTCATCTCTGCTCTCAAACTGGAATATTTCGATTGGCAAGGTCATATATGAAATGTCTGCCATTTCCCACTTGGAATAATAAGCCGACGTAATTGAGAGGATTCTTGCTACTGCGTCTCTTGAACATGTACAATCTCTGGTCATAAAGACAAGTTACTATACTGTGCTGTAGCAAGATAATAACGTAATATTATTGTGTAAAAATAGAACTGATTAGAAGACCCGAAAAAGAACATGTAAATACAATGTTTATAAATCAAAGTAACGATATGGTGAGATATTTGTTTGTTCATTCACCGCGTGTAATCAACGAAAGCATACAAACAGCTTACATTACCAATACTGAAAAACATTAGTAACTCTGAAAAAATTGATTTCTCAATCTCTGTTTACTAAACACTCTTTATTCAGTACTAAACACTCTTACTAAACACTCTTTATAACGAGTACTATTTATCCTGTAAACATGGAATCCTTCTTCCTTGAACACTCTAAAAGGATTTTTCCTAAGAATAAGATTATATTATTTTAGATAACAGTAGAGAAATTTATTATTTTAGGTGTAACAATGGAAATTTCACACAATTTCGCGAGACAATGATTCTATAAATTTACAGGGTCAATATATCTACAAGCAAAGCAGCGCGCACGGTAAGAGGGTGCAGTGCAACATGGGCGCTAAAAATCACTGCATCGTGCTGCCAGATGCCAACAAAAACAAGACGATATCACAGATCGTCGGCGCGGCTTTCGGCGCCGCCGGACAACGATGCATGGCGCTCTCAGTGGCGATCTTCGTGGGCAAGTCGAAGGAATGGATACCTGAACTGGTAGAGGCGGCGAAAAGGTTGAAGGTCAACGCTGGTCACGTGCCTGGCACTGACCTCGGACCTGTCATATCGCCGCAGGCGAAACAGAGAATTTGCGAGCTGATCGAAAGTGGCGTTAAGGACGGCGCGAAATTGCCCCTCGACGGAAGGGGTATTGTTGTGTCCGGCTATGAAAATGGAAACTTCGTCGGACCCTCGTTGTTAATCGATGTTAAGGTAAAGGAGAACTTATCTACGATCGACTTTTCCGCATTTTGGTGAATCTCTGTGTGGATATATTACGTTAATGACAATTTGTCTTTGAGCTACCAATTCTCCAGATCTCGTCTCAAACAAAATTGCTCTTTATTATAAATGACTAATAATTGTGTTATTTTCGCATACTCGGTCCTTGTTTTCTCCAGATCGATAGGTAATCTCGATCATACCTCCTTTCCTTATTTTAGGGAAAATTTGTAGACACCCATAGATATCAAGAAACTCTTTAACCCTTTAAGGCGCATAATTCATGGAACATTCTAGTAACTTTTTTTTAATGAAATATTGTTTCATTTTTAAATGAAATATGTCAAAAACATTCTAAATAGCACATTTATAAGGTTTCAACTGCCCGATTCTAAGTGGTCCCTATTGGTACCAGTGAAAGGTAAAGGGTTAATTGAAATTTAGTGCTGACAATTTATAAATTTTGTTTCTTGGATGTTTTGACAATTGTATTTCAATGTAGCAAGTTCCCCCTTTGTAATCCTTCATATCTTATTTCACGTATTTAAGCATGTCATTCTGAGAGAGAGGATTCCTAGACCATTCATAGATTTCACCAGATTATCGAAAAATCCGAAACAGAACTTGTATTACAGATTGTTTTATATGTTACAGCCCACGATGAAGTGTTACACGGAGGAAATATTCGGGCCCGTCCTATCATGTATATTTGTTGACACGACCGAGGAGGCCATCAACATCATCAACAGAAACCCCTACGGTAATGGCACGGCTGTCTTCACAACAAACGGCGCGACAGCCAGGGCGTTCGTAAATAGAATCGAAGCCGGCCAAGTTGGGATTAACGTTCCCATCCCTGTTCCCCTGCCGATGTTCAGCTTTACCGGCAACAAGGGTTCCTTCCTCGGCGATAATAATTTCTACGGAAAATACGTAAGTGTACAAAATCTCGCGCGGATTCCATCCGGACGAATTACTCATATCACCTTTGTAAATTTTTAACAAAGATCTTGTTATCAAAAACGATAATTGATTATTCGAGCCTCATTCAATTTCGTTTCAGGGAGTAAACTTCCATACGCAAACGAAGACAATAACGCAACTGTGGAGATCTGACGACGCTACCGATATCGCGTCGTCGACAGCGATGCCTACCATGCAATAAGGCTGTAACCATCTATTTTTGAGATCTGTGAAAAAATAATTTAAAAGCCTCTAAATTTTCTCAGATAAGATCCCAAGTAACACACACACGTTTCAATGTTTTATAAACGTTAGAACCAAACGTTTCATAACGTTTCCAAAACGTTTCATAACGTTTCTGAAACATTTCTCATGAGTAAAAATGTCCACTCAAAAAACGTTAGATGAAACGTTACTTTTGCGAAAAAAATCGTTCAAGAAACGTTTTATAAACGTTTTAAGACGTTTTATAAACGTTTCATAAATAAGATTTCAGAAAGGTTCTTGTTAAAACGTTTCTTATTAATGCTTTGTGAAACTATAGATACGTTTAAGAAACATCTCTGATACTTGTATGTGTTATCTAGGATTATGCATAGATTGTACAAAGTTGCAACTCCCGTGTTGCGCAGTTATTAAAATAACAATGTCTTCCACTGTTACGTTACAAATCTGTACGTACACAAATCTGTTCAGAGTGCAGACTGAAGACTTGAAGAGAATATTGTTATGGTCTAAATAAGCTAAATATATTTTTTTATAGCATAATAAAGTATTGCCCGCCGGAATAATCGATCGCTTATTCGGAAACATTGTCCATACCTTATGATAAAACTTTACTCGTTCCTTTTAAAAAAAATTACAGCGCAACGTGCGATACAAATGTATAATTCGAGTCGCCGTCAATATAACAAGTCAGGTAATAAAACTAATCATTGCCAAAGAAAGAAGAAACTGCGCATCGAAATTGTGTAGCTCACAAACCTACGCTCTTTCACATACTGATTACTGAAATTATATTACAAAATATAGTTATTAAAAGCATTAAGATTTACAGGTTGTAACCATAAAAAAAGAGAGAAACCTCCTTTAATATCTCAAAATTTATTACAAGCATCGCAAAACGATATGACTTTTATGTTCACTCAATCACACTCTTGTGAAATTTGAGAATGATGATCTGGAACACCCTATATATAAATGGTCAATGGACGCGTTATAAAACAACGAGTGACAACCAAGCATTGATCATTTTTATTCGGACATATACATCGTCCATACTTTGATAATAAAACTTTACTCGTGTTTAAAAAAAAAAAGAAAACTTACCACGGCATGAAATACAACGCAAAATTCAAGTCGCTGTATTTGTCAATGTAACAAATCAAATGGTAATCTTAATTATTGCCAAAG